TTCTAATGCAATGATACATAAGTAACCAGAGATCATTTTAGTGGGAAGACAAATTGCCAGATTTTAAAAGCACAGGGAGGACTTTATCATAAAAGCCGGGAAAGGGTTAGATGACCTCCCAAGGGGACACTGGAGTTGCGGGATGTAGTCCAGCCAAGAGCTGGATCACGGGTGAACAAGGGCAACGCCAAACAAACCAACAAACCACCACTCCCCACCCAGACGAACAGGACAGGCACAAGCCCACGCGCGACTTATCCCAGATTCTGAGAAAGCACCCAACAGTTTTCAGGAAAATAAAGCGAACGGCAGTCCAGGCTTCTGTTAGCGTGGTACTTATAAAAAACACTTTTACAATGAAACCAGCCATTAAAAGGTCTCAAAAGGGCCATCTTATGAGGAAAAAAAAACAAAGATGGTAATCTTTAAAAAAAATACATGCTTGATTTTTTCCTAGATTTCGTGCTACAGAAAATACTAATACAGGAAATGTATACTACCAAAAAATAAACCCAAATAAACCTGACTTTAACGTCTACTTATGCTTTTCCATCTATTCCCATCTTCTCCCCCATTAAGAACATGTCCTTTAATAAAGTTAAAAAGAAAAACACCCAGCCGGGCGGGTCTCAGTGGTTGAACATCGACCTAGGATCCAGGAGATCACGGTTCGATTCCCGGTCAGGGCACATGCCCGGGTTGTGGGCCCGATCTCCAGTCGGGGCACGCAGGAGGCAGCCGATCAATGACTCTCTTCATTGATGTTTCTATCTCTCTCTCTCTCCCTTCCTATCTCTGAAATCAATNCGCAGGAGGCAGCCAATCAATGACTCTCTTCATTGATGTTTCTATCTCTCTCTCTCTCCCTTCCTATCTCTGAAATCAATAAAGATATATTTTAAAAAACAAAAAAAGTAGTCTTGGAGACACACAGAGGGACTGCCAGCCACGTCTACGCCCCTCACCGGGCCAGCAGAGGTGTGCTGTACACTGTAGGCAAATCCAGGTCTAGAATGAGGGCCCATTCTCCACGCCCGTCATTTTTTTTTAAACTTTATTTTTCCTGTTGACACTCTTACAGATGCACCCCCCCCATCAGCACACTGTGTCTGTGTCCGTGGGCTATGCATTTATGTCCTCTGGCTAATCCCTTCACCTTCTTTCATCCAGTCCCCCCTCCCCTTCCCCTCTGAGCTCCGTCAGTCTGTTCCATGTAGCCATGCCTCGCTTCTATTTTGTTTGTTAGCTTATTTTGTCCATTAGATTCCACATATAAGTGAGATCATACGGTTTTTGTCTTTCTCTGTCTGGCTTACTTCACTCAGCATGATAATCTCCAGGCCCACCCATGCTGCTCCACGCCTGTCTTCTCACTCAAGAAAGCAAGTGACAGTGTAAATGACAGACGTGGTTATAGGAATAAGCTCAATTAACTCTAATTTTTTTTTTTAAGTGAATCATTTGCAAGCTTTCCTTTGCTGCTTCAGCTATCATTTAGAAGCAAATCACTAGTGAAACAGCCCCCAACTGCATTCTGACATCACCCACCGCCCACCAGCAAGTTATGAGAATGTGGTCCGAGGACTCCTGGGGGTCCCCCAAGACCCTTTCAAGGGGTCCGCAGAGCCCTCACACAGCTACATATCTGTGTGAGGCCGAATTTTCTTCATCTACTTCAACCAAACAACAGACAGCAACAGGTAGAAGGCAGAATCCCAGTCTCCTCCTAAACACGAGTTAAAAGAGATTAGCAGAAATGTCTTCTTACTAAATTGTTCGTTTTAAAAAATGGAGTTACTATTCATTAAATGTATGCTGTTACCACCTAATGGGTTTATTACTGCGGTTTTAAATAAGCTAATAAATATTTTCATAGGGTCTCAGTTTAATTTCTGATCGAGCCCACATAAACACAAGCTCTTTGGGGTTCTTGATAACTTTTGAGAATACAGGGGTCCTGACACCTGGGAACCCTACCGATCCTACCACATCCTCTAATGGATGTTATACAGGGTGTTTTATAATGTTCTCACTGTCATTCTAGAGACACACATCCAAGTGTTAATTAGGACGAATGATCTCAGAGGCAGTATTCTGGGTCATCTTCACTTACTCTTCTTTGCTCTAAATGGTACTTTTCCTACAGTAAGGAGGTAGGGGGACATCTGGAGCACCATTTCCCAAAGTGTGTCCCAAGGAACACTGGTGCCCGAGATGCCTCAGGAGGAGTCCATGGTCGAGTTTGTTGCATGAATGTTGACTATACCGTCCACTCAGTCTTTCTTCTACGCACATGAGCACGCTGAAGGTCTGGCAAATCCTGCAGTAATGAAGCCTGTTTAACACATTTCTCAAACTTAGGTGACCAACAGACCCCTTTAACCAAGTAACACCTGTCCACGTAACATACTAGGGAAACAGGGCCTTGGAGGTCAACTTGTCAGCCTGTATTATAAAATTCGGAGAGGAGGCCTGCAGTTAGCAGAGCCTTTATCACGACCGTCAGAAGTCACTATGTCGGTATAATTTAGCATGGGTGACTTCTGGTAAACGACACACAGAAATCCCGCAGCGGCTATTTGCAGGCGGTGTAAAATACATTTTTTACATTCGATGCAGTAAAACACAAAGGAACAAACGTGATATAGATTTAGGAGCTTAAGAAATTCAATGAACAGCTTTAAATAGAATTCTTGAGATTTTCTTTGATGAAAAACATTAAGTACATCTAACCATGAGTCATTCCTTGAAATAACGAACATTAGTACGTATTCTCGGGAAGGTCGACCTGCACACAGCTCCTCGCGGTGGCCGCCCAGCCTGCGGAGGGCCCGGGTTTGCGGGCCCTGCCCCTCCTCCAGCTCGCCCACCTCCCGTCCCCACTCCTGCGCTGGGCACCGGGCGTCTTGTGGGCCCCCTTTCTTCCTGTTCAAGATCACAGTGAACAGACCCTGTGCCCTCCTCTCCCAGGCTGGGTCACTCAGAAGCCAAGCCCTGGGCTCCCTCCTTCCCAACCTGTCCCTCTTGCTGCCTCCTCCCGGGGCGGCCAAGGTCGCCGGGCCGCGGCTGATGGACAGAACGTTGGCGAGCGCCTCACTGTCGCATTCTAGAATTATCAATAGTGATGCGGGGTGCTGTGGCTTACTGCAAATTTGCCCGGTTTTCACTTAGTTTCCGACAATCACTTTTGGAGCTTAAACAATTTATAACAATGTTTCCAGGGGAAAACATAATTTGAGTCCCAAGTTGAATTCTTAATAGATTGATATGAATTGTTTTTTTCAGGTCACCTGGGAATTAGAAATGGGTCCTGGGAAACAATACATCAAGACAGAGCTAGGCTGAGGCAGGTGACAGTCACTAGATGACAGTAACAGAGCTGAGGCGGTGGCCAAGGAATCCCAGCCCGGGGTGAGTTCTTTACCCAGGCAACCAGGTCTCAGCACGGAGCAGACAGACCTGCCTGAGCATTTCAGGAGAACAGATCGCTATCTGACCAGAATGGACTGGCTGTTTTGTTAGCCACCATGTGAGGTTTCTCAGATGTCGGGGTCCCCTCACTGCCCACTGCACAATCTTGCCTCAGTTTACCTGTCTATACGTGGGTTTCCAAAAAATAAGGCTCAGTCAAGACTGCTCTATGCCAAGACACAGCTTTTGCCCCAAATCCCTTTCTGCACCCCCTACGCCACTCAGCTGAGTTTCTAGATAAAGCAGAAACTTTGGGAAACCTTTTTAGCTTTCTTCCTTCAGGTCTAACCAACCCAAACCGAGCCTAACGGCCCACGACGGCTTTCTCACGGCCCCTGGCTTCACTCTGTCCATCGGCACTGAAAACCACACCTGCATATACTTCACGAGAAAAAAATTCAGTGAAGACATACTTTGCTTATGCGTCACGTTTTTATAGTAGTTCAAAAAAAATCTCAAATCTTCTAAGAATACGCGAAAAGTGGTTCTAGAAAAAACGAAGTTAAGAAACTTTATCAACGGAATGAACTGTGGATTAATCAATGGCATTTATGACCTACCTAAAACATTTCATCAAATATTAATGTTGCTGTTATTATTACCAGTCAGATTGGGGGGGGAGCTCATGTTATGAAATTATCTCACTGGTACTTGTTCCTCCTGTTAGCAAAGGTTTACAAATGTCAGATTCCATCTGAAAAAAGCATTTATGTCATTTTCTATCCTGGGCTTTAAATATTTAGAAGATGCTTATTAGCTGCTTCTTTTAATTAAGCAAGGGAAGGCTCCATACGCATAGGGATGGACCTTTTAAAGTGCTGCCAGATGAAAATGCTCTCATCAGGCATCACGGGCAGATATCAATGGACACTGACAAACAGCTCAGAAGAGAGATGAGAAACGCTGCCGACTCAGGGCTTCAAAATCCAGGCTACGGGTCATCGAGGTGCCTGGCCATTCACAGGGCGCTGGGCGCTGGGCACGGAGGGGTCAGAATGCCGTTGGTGGCTGCTGCCCGCCTTCCAGGCCCCCGCCGTTCCGTTCCCAGCGAGCGGGCCTAGGGGGAAAGTGAAATGCCAGCCAGTGCATTCTGCTGCTTACTCGCTCTTCTGATGAATGTTTGAAATGCGTGGCAAAAAAAAAAATAGAGATTGGAGAATTTTAATTATTTGTTATCCTTGTTACTAAGTCCGTAAGAGGAAACTGGCATGAATTAGTCAAGGTGTTTTAAAGGTAAACATAACGGGCTTGAAGCAAAGGCTCTGATCCCCCAATCAAAAGCAACCCCCCATCAATTAGCCTCCACTGTGTCCTGTGAAGTTACTGTAGTCTGTCCTTTGTCAGGTGCTGGGGACACAGAGGCGTGTGCAGCCTCCACCTTGAGGCCACCAGAGAATAAGTCTTCCAATGAGGGGAGGGGGCGTCAGCAGGGCCCCCAGGGGGCTGGGCATCAGCTGGCTCATCGGGAAAGGGTGCCCAGAGGACCAAGGGCTCTGGCTAAAGCCTCAGGGCCAGGCCCACGTTCTGACCATGGCGACTCTGCAGCGTCAGTCTGTCAATGCCCAGGGCCGGCATCCTGAGTGCGACGGGCCCCCACTCTTGGTTTATTGCTGCACCCCCTTGAAATTCTTGACTTTTGAGCCAAGAGGCCCTGCATTCACTCTGATTCTGCACTTGGCCCCATGTATTATGCAGCTGGTGCTATCAATATTCATCATTAACTACGTCTAAAAATATGCAAAATTAAATGCACTGGATTCTGCATTTTAGAATAAATTATGTTCTTTAAAGGCCACTTACACAAATCGTTCTTAAGTTTTACATACTTTGATTTAAGTTTATGACATTCAATATCTTTTTCTTGGTGGTCTTAAAATAAAAGTACTATTATATAAGAAAAATTCTGCAGTATTATTAAGAAGAGACCAGAATAAATACGTCCTTGTTAGATTTTAAGTAGGTATTAAACAAAGATGACGTTCATTTTTACTGTTTTAAAAATTCACTTTGAATCTAAAGGTGTATTCCTAAGTGTTTTATACTATCACTGAAGATTGGGTAAATAACAAATAGTAAATAGTAAAAAATAAAAATCAAAGAGCCAGCGCCAGCTGGGTGGCTCAGTGGTTGTGGAGTCAGTCACATGGGGTCAGGGCACAAGCCCAGGCTGCGGGCTCGATCCCAGTAGGGGGCGTGCAGGAGGCAGCTGATCGATGACTCTCTCCTCATTGATGTTTCTTTCCCTCTCCCTTCCTCTCTGAAATCAATAAAAACATATATTTTTTTAAAAACACAAAACCCACCCTGACCCAGGACCTAGATAGTCTCTCTGCATGTGACTGTGACTAGGCCCCAGCTCACTCCTCATCAGGAACAGAAATCAGGGCCTGGGGGGACGGACGCTGGAGCACAGATGCGCTTGGCCTTTCTTAAAGTGACAGGTGGTAACAACAAAGAGCTGCGGGACTGGATGTCACCAAAGATTTGAAGGCTGGGTAAGATTTAGTCCTAAGGAAAGCTGACTAAAGGCTCAAACAATGTTTTAAAGAAAAGGGTTGCTTTGTGTGCGAGCAAGTGCCCAGGCTGAGAGATCAGCTGTCAGGGACATGCGAAGGTAGGTCTGTCCGGCAGGGAAGGCTGCTTACGTGCAGGGGACAGGCCTTTCAAAGTTCCTTTCAACTCAGAGTCTAAGGTCCTGGGCGGGAAAGACAGGGGAGATAACGGCCAAGGAGGAAGCTGGATGGATGAACTGCAGGTCTGTCCCTAGCGCAGGAAAAATATCAGCTACTTAAAACTCTAATAAGAAAACTCACTGACAACTGTGAAATATGTATCTGGTTAGAGGGATGCTCCTGGAGTAATTATGGGGTCAAGAGTGAATGTAAGGACGGTGCAGCCACTGTGGAAAACAGTCTGGCAGTTCCTCAAAATATTGAGCATAGTTATCGTAAGACCCAGCAATTCCCCTCCTGGGTGTCTACCCAAGAGAAGTGAAACTACGTGTCCACGTGAGAATCGGCACACCGAGGTTCGCAGCAGCACTGCTCACGGCAGCCGCCAAGTGGGAACCAACCCAAAGGTCCACCAGCTGATGAACGGAAAAACGGATGCGGATGCCCACTCGATGGAACACTTCAGTCTGCTTAAGCAGCTGTAATAAAATAACAGAGACTGGATGGCTTATAAACAACAGAAATTTATTTCTCACATTCTGGAGGCTGGACCCAAGATCAAGGTGCCAGGAAATGTGGTGCCTGGCGAGAGCCCGCTTTCTGGGTCTTTGACAGCCATCTTCTCGCTGGGTCTCCACTTGGTGGAAAGGGCAAGAGATCTCTGAGGTCCCTTTTACAAGGGCACTGATCCAGTCCATGAGGGCTCCACCCTCGTGACCTAATCACACTGGGGGTTAGGTTTCGACATATAAGTTTTAGAGGGACACAAACCTACAGCAAATGTTCGTCCACAAAAAGAAATGAAGCTCTGACACAGGCTATAGCACGGATGAACCTTGAAATCGTCATGCCAAGTGACAGAAACCAGTCACAAAAGGCCACGAATCCTACAGTTCCACTGCTGTGAAATGCCCAGAACGGGCAAACCCAGGTTAGTGGTGGCCAGGGGAACTCAGAGGGACAGCTAAGGGCTATGGGGATTCTCCTGGGGGTGATAAACACGTGCTGAAATTAGACAGTGGTGATGGATGCACACTGAATCGTGTATTTTTTAAAAGGTGAATTCTATGGTGTGTGAATTACATTTCAATAAAGCTTGTTTAAAACTTTTTTTTAAAAAAAAAGAGTAGATGTAGGAAAAGAAAGTCGTCTTTTGTCCTAAACAATGAGTTTAAGGAATTATCTAGGTCAAGGTAGACTTGAAAAGTACCAGATTCTACAGAAGTTCTTGTCACAAGAGAATCAGACTGGTCCAAAGCAGACGACTGTAATGTTCACGCCTCACCAGAGGTTAAAACACACAAATGTGATTCTTCCTTTACTGTGCTACCTGCCACCTACGTCCTACCCGGGGTCTGGCATGGAAGGACGGTAGCTTTCAGATGTGTCTTACAGGGTTTTAAAGATGTTCTAAATTCAGTTACTTTGAAATAATGGAAACTTCGCCTAGAACTTTAAAAATAAAAAAACCTTAGCAACAAATTTAGGGAAAAAATTTAACCTAATAATATCAACCTATAGCTAAGTGAGAGAAAGAACAAAAAATATTCCTAAAACAGGGAAGGGCCTATCGAATCAGGGACAAGTGTACACCACACCCCAATTCCTAGGTGGCGGGGGCTCTATGGAAAAGTTGGGCACCCCACATCAGCCTGACATGTGGGCAGGGAACTGTCATAGTTTGAGGGTTCCTATCTCTGGCCTGAACAGTCTCAACTACTGTAGAAATGTCATTTTTGAGGGTTTTTTGAACGATGCAAGAACGCAACATTGCATCCATCATTCCTACCACTCTCGAGTCCGTATCCCTGAAGGTCTGTATTTTGTAACAAGTCACTATCCTAAATTTCTTTTATAAAAAGACACATTTCTCTTTAAGTACCTCTGTTCTTACCAAATGAAGGCGACAGAAACAGCAAGGTTTATTTTTAAAGCCATAATGATCTGGCCGTGGCTGGTGTGGCTCAGTTGGTTGAGTGCTGTCCTGTGCACCGAAAGGTCACGCAGGTTGGATTCCAGGTCAGGGCACATGGCCAGGTCGGGGGTTCAATCCCCAGTCGGGGTGTGTGCAGTAGGCAACTGATTGATGTTTCTCTCTCTCTCTGCCCCCCCTTCCTCTCTCTCTAAAACCAATAAAAGCATATTTCTAAAAATAAAATAAAAGCATAATGATCTAAAACCTCAACCAGAAAATGTGAAAAATAGACTCTGGGTGACTTCCAGGATAATCAGACCTCCTATTTTGTATCAATGCTCATAAATGAAAACCCTACCTCAGAAATTACATTTCCCTGTCTTACAAAGCAATAATAAAAATAATCCAATCCTTTTTTGTGTACTAAAATTTTAACATCCCTCAGGTTCCTCATTTTAAACATGAAAAGTTGGTTTAATAAACATAACCAAGTCCTGAAAGTAGTTTCATGGAATTACAGGACCTTCTAATTTCAATGCAAAAATAATGTTGTTATATTTTATTAAAATTTCACTTATTGGTCATATTCCTCCTATCTAAAACTGAAATACTGCTTCTGCTCAAAAATCAAATAGTACTGACACAGATAATGCATGATATGAACTCCTAAAACTTCCTTTTGAAGATGAATCCCTATGAAACTGCTTTTCCTCCTAAAAGTAGCATGTAGCCAAAGATAGATTCTCAACTGGAGATTCCAGTTAATCAGTTACAGCTCTTAAATCGGCATACATTCAGAATCATTAATATTTTATTATTTCTTCAGCATTATAGGTCTCCTATGTGAAATAAATGAAATTTACTTTAACAATAAAAATGCTAGATTAAGCATAATATTGACATCTATATTCAAACGACCTTTTCCTCAAAGTTGCTTCTGAAGATAGTGGTAACAAACTAAGAATCCACTTAAACCCTGGCCGCTGTGGCTCAGCTGGTCGGGCGTCATCCCGAGCACCAAAAGGCCGCCGGTTCCAGTCCCCGTCAGGGCACATACCCGGGCTGCGGGTTTGATCACCAGCCTGGGTGTGTGGGAGGCAACCAATCAATGTTTCTCTCTCTCTCTCTCTCTCCCCCCTTTCCTCTCTCGCTAAAAAAGAATTTAAAAAAAAATTTTTCTAAAAAGGCTGAGAATTATAGTATTTTTTTAAATGGNTCTCTCGCTAAAAAAGAATTTTAAAAAAAATTTTTCTAAAAAGGCTGAGAATTATAGTATTTTTTTAAATGGACTCAAAATGGAAGCTACAGAGCTACAGCCTCCAAAAGCTGCTACAGATTTTTCTGATCTAATATCCCCAACACTGCAATCAACAGAAGGGCCCTTGAAAATTACCTACTGATTTAGTCCGACACTCATGTAGCAGAATTTAAGCTGTTGTATATATGCTCTTATGTCTGTAAGGCTTTGTTCAGTGTATCACATTTATCTGTCAGGTGAAAGAAAATAGGATACGTATGCAGACAAGACAGTGCAGACACCCTTCCATCCTGGGGCACGCCTTCCAGTGAGACAGACAATAAACAAAGTAAGTAACAAAGGGTTAGAGCAAGTGCTACAGGAAAAAGGAGCGAGTCCGAAGGGAGGGTTCAAGGGGTTCGGGGGTAGAGATGAAATTTCAAACATGAGAAGGGGCCTCACTGAGACGTCTGTGTACAAACAGGAAAATAACAGTCGATATTATTAATCTGGCTTTGAAATACATTACATGTTTGCATGTGGGGTTTTTAATATTCATAGATGCTTTCTACTCTCTACTTCATTTCCTATTTCCTCATAATTGACTGACTGGAGGTAAGGTACGCAGCCTAGGACACGACATATGCTAAGGATATGTCTCCTAATATTGCGGTTTACTTGCTGTTTTTTGAGAACTACAGCTACAATGAAAGTGAAATTTAGGGTTCCCCATAAAACAACTAATTAACAG